AAATAAATTTGTTTGCATTTCAATAAATTTTGACCAAAAACTGACTTTTTTCCAAAAGGGCTTCAAATTGATTCTTGATGACTCATAATATGTTCTTGGGGCCAAGAGACATCATTTATGCAAGTTTCAACCAAATTCACGATTTTGAATTTTTGAGCCAAATTTAATAAATTTAAAAGGGTTAGAGTTGCATTTTAATTATGACCCAGATTTGACTTTTCTTGACATCGCTCCAAGGTGCTTTTGAACCACCTTGAATTTATGATGTCTTTGAGGCAACCACTTGCCATAACCACATGTATATGTCAAGACAACTTTTTTTCCTGAAATTTCCCATATCTGGACCAAACTAGGAAGTTCCACAAAGACAAGCACAGATGAGAAAACCTCACACAAAATTTACTCTGCATGGAAGTAACAATCTTTTAATAAATATAACTACAACGCTTTTCACCCACGGCATTTGGCTGGGCTTCATAATTTCTACATTATCTAAAAGCCTGGCAACTTGTATTTGGGTGGTCTGAAACTACATCTTTCACCTACTTTGGCCATAATACGAACACCTGACATTGTTAAGGAAGCCAAAAGCATATGTGAACTTCACAGACGTTCAGATTAATTTTCTGGGTTGGTTTGGCATGACTGTCTGTTGAATGGGTTGTTTGTTGGGGCTTGGAAGCCATTAATGCTTTGATTATAAAATATTGTATTTAGTTTTTCTTTACTACCTCTGCCTTTTGAAATCTACCTGTGTCAACAATGCACACACGGCAGCGTAAGGCAGACAACTTAGATGTGACCTTAATCACATCCAATCTACATTTGCCACTGTCATTTTTACAATCTGCTTGAATTCTGCAATTAATCAAAACAAGATAAATTGGGCAGAGTACCTCAAGTATCTGGCTGTGGAAGAGGGCTGTGTTTGAGTCAAGCAAATCATTAAGACTGGAAAACTTGATACAGACAAGGAATCCAAATTCAAAACGGAATTAGCTGCATAAGTTCCTCTGGAAGTATTCAAAATGAAAACATTGCCAATAAGATCTTAAACTTTATAAAAATAAATCAAGAAATTCAAAATAATGTCATTTAGCTAAGACTGAAATGATACAATTGCTGGGTGATCTGATGTCTTTTTCCCCCTTGGATGTGTTTCTAAGCTTCCATTAAAGGTCTTGGAAGTCTCCTTACGACTCTTTACAGAGAGTGCAAAACTCCAAGGAATCTTAACTTTCAAGTAAAGTTACTGCCTTTCTCTTTTCCTCCGTGGGGTAAAATCTTTCAGGCTGGAAATAAGACCAGGAACATTCTTCACACAAATATGCACACAAAGTGAATGTGACACTGCCAAGTAAAACTCGGTATCAAGGCAGTAATGAAATGCAATCGACTTCCTGGAGGTTCTGGTATGAATCCTCACCACAGCCTCAGAGGCTCAGCAATAAGGGTGGCGTATTACCAAGACCAGTCACATCCACTGTATGTTGTGGATGTTGGTACCTATCGAGATAACCCCAATTGAAAAAAAAAAGGAACTTTTAATCAGTTCCTACATAAAGAGGCTTAACCCATGCAGGAGCGAGCTTGTCACATTTTGTTCCATAAATCACATGTTTTTACGACAAAAGTCATCCCCTTTCAAACCAGGAGGAAAAAAAGTCATGTCATTTCTGTGAATTTGCAAGAATAAACTTCAATGAAGTTTTAAAACACATCACAAAGGTAAATATTCAATATCTGTCATTTTAATGAATATTCATAAACTGGAATATTCCTTCAATACATTTAATTAAGCTCATACATATTCAACAAACGCATTGTCTGTGCCCTTAAAACCTTCATCTTTTCCAGCAATCCACTCTCATGAAAATCTACAAAAAAGAGTTCTGTCCCTATTTTATACATGGCTCCCACAATGGCGTCTATTAAATTTGCTCATAACAATAAGAAAAACTGCCTCACCATTTTGAAAAGAAAAGGCAGATGATGAGAAGAAATTTCACGACTGGAAAAATTAACCTGGACGAACCAAGGCGCTTTTGAAGCAGAATAATACTGACAGGCAATGTACAAGCATGTTACAAGAAAAATGGATGTTTTAACAACCCGGGGATGTAACTATTTTTGAGAAGAAAGCAGGGAAAGAGGTGACAGAGGTGATGCAGAGTCCATACAATGTTGTCGTCGTACACATGCTCAATGCTTTTGTACTCACATTAAAAAAGTTCACTTACTCATAATCACAATGAGGTACTTATACTCATACTCACCACTAAGTACTTGCAGGCATACTCGCTTTGAAGTACATGTACTCATACTCACATGGAAGTACTCATACTCATGGTCACTGTGAAGTACTTATGCGCATACTCACATACTCACGCTCATATTGAAGTACTCATACTCATTGTGAAGTACTCATACTCATGGTCACTGTGAAGTACTTATGCGCATACTCACTGTGGACTACATATACTCATGTTCATATTGAAGTACTCATACTCATGCTCACTGTGAAGTACTCATACTCATGCTCACTGTGAAGTACTTATGCGCATACTCACAGTGGAGTACATATACTCACGCTCATATTGAAGTACTCACACTCATGCTCACTGTGAAGTACTCATACTCATGCTCACTGTGAAGTACTTATGCGCATACTCACAGTGGAGTACAAGTACTCATGCTCATGATGAAGTACTCATGCTCACTGTGAAGCCAGGGCAGTCATACTCACAGTAAAGTATGCGCACTCATACGTTGAAATACTCATTCTCATACTCACAATGATTTACTCGTACTCAAGCAAAGGTACTCATTCTCGTGAAAATGTACTTGACTACAACACTCTTCCATAAATACATTTCAGATGCGACATAGCAAAATAAAGGTATGGGAATATGAGGGGGCCCAATGGGGTAGTTTATATGTTCCCCTCCTACTATTCCACCTCTTGTTCCTTGACATGGTAAGCCCTACCCAAGATGATGCGATCCCGCAGCAGCTTGAAGAGGACATAGTAGTTGCAGAATAGGAGTAAGGAGAGGGAGATGACGTGGTTCCAGTGGGTGTGCATGGCCAGCAGGTACAGCTGGAACAGAATCACCCCGACCTGTAGGCAGAGAAGGCCATTCAGGACCCGCAGCGGTTCGTGGAACATGAACTGAGGGGGGAACCAATTCAAGGTTAGATTCAAAAATTGGCACAGATTGGTGTCGCTGATCATTGTTGGATCTGAGACCACTATAAGACCAGTCACAAGACAATCACAAAACCAAACAAGACCAGTCACAAGACCAGTCATAAGACCAGTCACATGACCATCACAAGATCAGACACAAGACCCATCACAAGTCTGTCACAAGATCAGACACAAGACCATCAAAAGATCAGACACAAGACCAGTAACCAGACCAGTCACAAAACCCGACACAAGACTAGTCAGAAGACCAATCACATAACCATCACAAGATCAGACACAAGACCTGTTACAAGTGTCAC